AATAGAGTGTAAAAAAACACAATCATATTTTTTCTCATTAAAAAAAAGGCAATGAAATCACTTGATGGTTAAAAATTAATTTTTTTTTTTTTTTATCCAAAAGTATAGTGAGTTGAAAATTCAATCACAAATTAAGCATAACCATTTTTTTTTTTTGAAAAATACAATGAGTTAGAATCCAATTACAGAAAATAATCTAATCATTATCATCAATAGTGCATACTTTATGTGAATCTAATGAATACAATATAATTTTTTTTTTCCAAAAAATATAGATTAAAAACAAAATATTGAAAAATAAACAAAGTTTTAATCACAATATGTTTAAAAATAAATAATTTACTCACAAACTTTGAAATGTTTTTCTTCCAAAATGTTGCCCCAAAGCTGCTGTTGCTATGATAGGAAGACTCTAAGATTGTGTCTCACTTTTATGTGAACTCTCTCTCTCTCCCAAATTTTTTCTTTAGGTTGCTATGTGTTGTGTAATAATGGGCTCAATTTTTTTTTTTACGTTGCTGTGTGCTGTGGTAGGGTTTAGGTTAGTAGGTAGTAATGAATAATAACGGGTAATAGGATTTAGGATAATACGGAAATTAATAGATAAGAATGGGTAATAGAATTTAGGATAATAAATAGAATTTAGGAAAATAAGAAAATATATATATATATATATATATTTTAATCAAGAAATTAAGAAATTAGTATTAAAATAATAGAACTCTCACAAAATTTTTGGGTTAAAAATACTATTTTCCTTACAATAGATATTGTATTGAATGTTTTTTTTAAAAAAATATTTTTCATTATTTAAAAGTTGTACGACTCTTTATTATTATTTTGATTCAAACCTTTATTTTTTATTTTTACAATGACTAATCTCCCAACACATACATATATAATAGTACACATATTTTTTATTAAATAAAAAAAAAGGGTATATAAAGGAGGAGGAGGGTGAATCATTCACTATGCGACATCCGAATCATCAACTTAAACACGCATCGAGATCTACAATAACATTACTAAAATTCATGACACGTTGGATTTCCGAATTATTGAATCTTAAAAGACAAAAATATCCTTAATTTTAATCATGAGTTAGTTTAAAAATTCCTAATTTAAAGTATAGATTATACACAAAATGCATGTATATATATATATATATATATATTGAATGAATGTATAATGAGATTCATGTATAAAATCAATTTAAATTACATATTAAAAATTTTAAATAAATTCTGAATAATATTTTTAAAATTTATAGAATTACTGTCTAACCAAATATGCAGTCTTAGGCCAAGTTTGGGAAGATCCAAAAAAGCCAAAAAGTTAAAAAGTTACTCAAAAAGCTAAAAAGTTAACACTATTCACCAAAAGTCAACAATTACGGCTGCACAACTCTCAATTCAAATTTTTCTCTACAAATCAATTTTTACAATTTTTTATTACACATTTTTCAATAAAAAGTCAAAAAGTTAACCCAAACATCCATATTTTCAACCTCAATTTTTTAGTCCAAAAAGACAAAAAGTGCACTTTTTTAGTCTTCCCAAACTTGGCCTTATTGCATTGACATGCCCCTGCTTGGGGGTATTTTGGACCCACAAATAACTTTTTACACATTCTGTCTGACATTGGTGGGCCATGATGAGTGTGATCCAGTGTGGCCAAATCCGACGGTTGCAAAGTGGGTCCCAGGTCACGAGCTCACTCACTACCTTAAAAAGCATTTTACACATGATATGGGCCCACAAGGTGGTAAAGAGGGCGGCTTGTGGGTTTGAATCCAAAGGCGGACAAAATAAAGAAATGTTGAGCAACTTTGATCATGTGGTGTGTGGTGTGTTGGGGGCTGCTTTTGGACGGTTATGATCGCAGTTGGTGTTGATGTGGTCCCATTTTTGCCACCGCCCATATCCTCGTTGGCCTTTTGGGTTTTGTCCACATATCAAGTGGTTTGGAATAGAAGTGAATATTACAATTTTGACCACAACAGTGAAACAGTAAGGTTACATTTATCATATTTTTATATTATTTTTAATGTATCATATTATATGTCTGTTTATAATAGAAATAAAGGAAATATTATAGTGTATATTTTTCAAAGAGTGTGTATCATATATATCTTATAATTAAAAGAAAAAAAAATAATTTCAATTTTTTGAGTCATAATTTTTAAAAAAATGTTATAATTAAACACAACATGAGACATAACTAAAGAACTTATAAATTATTATTAAAATAATATTATAACTAAATAAGAAAATTAAAGAAAAAAATGACATAATTAGGTGTGTATATAATACACAATTTCTAAAAAAGTGTATATAAGAATTTTCCTAAAAATAAACATCAGTGATGTGATTTATTATACTAATAATACTCTGACACATACGCTAATATAGTAAAAGTAATATAAAACTAAAAAAATTCTTCAGTATACAATACACATCAAATATTACACATAGTGATGTTTTGAAAAATTAGTAAAAAATTAATTTTTTAACTTTTTTAGTCTATTTTATCTTTTTGTGAATAAGAAATATGAGAAGTGATATGACTCAAAATAAATAAAAAATTAAAAATTAACTTTTTTTTTTCCTTCCCAAAACACCATAGTAAAGAGAATTTCCTTTCATAAATCACCATTATATTCATTTTTTCCCCTTATATTCACATATATTTACTCTTAATAATGATATTTAAATTTGAATGCTGATTCCCCATAAATAATTTTAAAAAAAACAGAAAAGAAAAGAAAAGAAAAAAAAAAGAAAAATTTGAGGTAGGCTCTCTCCAGTAGGGTTCACCGCTGGTAGGACTTAGTGGGCCCATTATGGGACCCACCTTTTCTTAGCCAATTATGAGACCTACCTCAATGATTCAAAATTATTCTATTTTTTAGGATCTTTCAAACAGATTATGCATGTAAAAAATAAAATTTATCAAATAATTATAATAACAACATAGTTATATTTATTTTTAAAAAAGATAAACAGTCTATTTTTAAAATTATATTTGCAAAAGCCCAACAATACTCTAGCGGGGATCACCGGGGTTGTTTAGGGTGTCCTATATAAGTACACTTTTGTCTTTTTAGTCTAAAAAGTTGAGGTTAAAAATATGAATATTTGGGTTAACTTTTTGATTTTTTATGAAAAAATATGTATTAAAAAATTATATAAATTAATGTGTAGGAAAAAATTAATATTGAGAGTTGCGCAGCCGTAATTGTTGACTTTTAGTAAATAGTGATAATTTTTTTACTTTTTGAGTAATTTTTTTACTTTTGAATTTTTTTGAAACTTTCCAAACTTAGCCCAAGTAAAGAAATTTACCTCATGTAAAGTTTAAAAAAAAAAACCAAAAAAAATAAAATAAATAACAACAACAACCACATAAAAGAGTGCGAGAGTATTAAAGCAATGGAGTGCAAATACCATTACTATTTAATTCATGTATTAAATATTATATATATATATATATATATATATATATATGAAAGAAGGAAACAAAAAGATTGAAAATTAAAAATCTAATATAATGCAATTCATTTTGGAAACATGGCTAGAAATTTGGCATTTTAGTCCTAGTAATTACCTTGTGCTTCATTTTTACATAATTTTTATCCAAAAATAAAAAATAAAAAATAAATAGAAGGAAAAAATTACGTACTTTCCCTAAAGTTAGGGGTTATGTTGGGGCCTAGTTAAGTAAAGAAATAAATAAATTAAGGCATAAAAGATGGAGAAATCAAATAGAAATTCAAGAACATGAAAGCATGATAAACCCAGCCACCTTCATGGCCTACTGCCCAAAAAACAAATACAACCCACTCAAGAAAAAAGAAGATGGCTATTGAAATAATAATAATAATAAAAAGTCATCCACATATAGAATTTGTATGTGTAAATTTCATTAAGAATAATTCTATACATATTATTTAATAATAAATATTTTTATTTTAAATAAAATAATTACAGGAAATGACATCATTATGACTCATTGACTTCCCCTCCCCTCCCCTCCACTCCCTTCTGGTTTTTACCGGCTGTGACCCCGAGAAGCTTTCCTCTCTCTCTCTCTTCTTCCCCTCCCCTCCCCTCCACTCCCTTCTGGTTTTTACCGGCTGTGACCCCGAGAAGCTTTCCTCTCTCTCTCTCTTCTTCCCCTCCCCTCCCCTCCACTCCCTTCTGGTTTTTACCGGCTGTGACCCCGAGAAGCTTTCCTCTCTCTCTCTCTTCTTCCCCTCCCCTCCCCCTCTGGTTTCTACCAAACGCCATGAATGGCTGACGGAAGAGAAAGAAGAAAAAGAAAAGAAAAAAAAAAAAAAAAACCCCCCAAAACGACGTCGTTTTGGGGGGCTACAGGAAATGGCGATAGGAAAATGCTACCGAGGATCCGGATTCTTTTCAGCCCGCACAGCTAGGTATTGTTTTTTTGTTTTTGTTTTTATTAACATAAGGTAAGATTTTAGCCAGTTAAAAATTAGATTACTATAACCTTAAACTTGAGACCTTATCTCCGTGCACTCCAAACCACTTAGACTAGAACCCGGATTACCCGTATAGATTTAAAATTCACTCAAAAAAAAAAAAATAATAATTAAAAAAAAATTCATCTTGAAATTCTTTATTTTATTTTAATTTTTTTTTGAAAGGTAAAAACATTTACAACTATGCATGCCTAATTAAATAGAAAATTCTATAAATTCCAAATTTTCTACCAAATAAATTACTAAATATTTCACATGGGTGTGAGGTTCACAAAAAGTATGGACCCCACACCCATGAGTGAACCCCACACCTATATAAGACATTTAGTCATTTATTTAATAAAAAAATTGATATTTCTAATATTAACCTAATTAAATTGCCCTTTATGTCAGGAATATGAGGTGTCAAATTAATTTGGTAAGATTATTTATTATTATATTTTTTTTGGAAGTGCTGCCAGCTCCTCTCACTCAATATTTTTATTAATTATAAGAAATTACATCTCTCTCTCTATATATAGCTCTCAAATTGGATCGCAGCTCTTCACAACCAAAAGCACTACTATACTACTCTTCTATTCTTCATTTCCCAAATCACTCTCTTTGCTCTTTGTTGTTTGCTCTTTCATTCCCTTTGCTTTTCAATGGCCACTGTTGAGGTAACTCAACTTAAACTACCCTACTTTTTCTTTTATCTATCAATCTATATATGATTTCATATTTGATTTACCTATTTATGATCAGATTTGTTTTCGTAACTTTGTTATTGTAAAATTAAAATTTGACGGTAATCATAAAATGTTTTTTTATCCCATATTTATGCTGGTGGTGACTAGCAAGCATGATGATCTCTCTCCATAAATCTTGTTGCTAGTTTGCAACTTGCAAACTATGCAAACAAGAAAAACATATGATGATCATCTATGCCAGTTGTTAGATCGATCGATCGATCGGTTGATAACAAATTCAAGCTAGTTACTGGATTCATGAGCATCAAGATCAAGCACTGGCTTACTGTTAAATCCACCCATCATTTGTGTGATCTCCTGAATAGTGTTTGTGTTTGCAACACATATTACAGTGATTGATCTATAATCTGTATCTAGATCTTTCAAAACATCATCATATTATATATATATTTATATAAAGTCTAGTAATCTCATAGAATGAATCACAAATGTGAGACAAAGAACGGAAATGATGTGGAGCCCATATGCGTCCTGTCCTGTCCTTTATCTTACATCTGTAACTTATTTTCGTGAACTTCATATGCATTTCTAATATTACTGTACATGTATATATATAAGCTTGTTATGGTATGCTTTGCTGTTTTTCAGGCCTTAGGTGAAAAAACTTATTGGGACATTTCTTTGTTGCTAATTTTTTTCTTTACAATTGATTTTTATTGCTTTTTGAGATACAAAAGTACTAATTAATTATTTTCATGTCATCTTTTAATTGGTATTATTATCAATCCATTTATCTTTTTAGTCTATCATAGATATATTTTTGTCAATTTTAACCTTAATAAATTTATTTGTACAAATGCAATATTGTCAATGTAAATAATGCATATTTTTAGTAAATAATTTATTTTTTTATAATTCAATACATTACGTCATATCACATTTATAATTATGCCGATTAAGCCAACTATCAATTCTTAACAACTCCCACAAAAACGCCATAGGTCATTTTTTTGCTACACATTAAAAACTATTCTCTAATGGTGTAGCAAAATGACTTGCCAAAAAAATGGTAAAACTAAATATTATTACAAATTTGGTTTAAAATTTGACAAAGTCATTTTTGGCACAACAACGCAATTAAATCATGATCACAAAAGATTTGTTTAGTAGATCCAATAACCAAAAATCGATATGACAATTGTTTGTATCAAAATAGCATGGTATGGGAAATAAATGACCTTTTTTTTGTTGTTGTTTTTTTTACTGTAATAACTTAAGCAAACCCTTTTAACTTTTACTATTAAAGTTGCTCTTGTACACACAAACATACCAAGCACTCACAAAGCTTTCTGAGCCCTACCACAACTTGACATGAGTCTCCCAAAGACTTGTGAGTGTGTTAGTATAATTTTGTGTGTATAACTTTTGTCCGAATCGTACTCAAAGAATGGCCACGATTGACTATACTCTTTGTGGGTTCTACATGAATTTAATCCCAACCGTATGTGCAAGTCAGGTCAGACATTAAAAACTATTCTCTAAGGCCATGTTTGATTCACAACACTAATAGTGAGGTATTAATAATCCTATCAAATTAGTGTGGTATTAGCTATCCCACCCCTACCCCATTATTAATAATCCTACAAATTTGTTGGATTAATTATCCATTGGATTAATAATACTAAACCAAAATGTCAAAACAAACATAGGATGATTGGACCCACGGATTAATAATCCCAATCCCATACTTTAATCCTTCCAATCAAACATGCCCTAATGGTGTAGCAAAATGACTTGCCAAAAAAATGGTAAAACTAAATATTATTACAAATTTGGTTTAAAATTTGACAAAGTCATTTTTGGCACAACAACGCAATTAAATCATGATCACAAAAGATTTGTTTAGTAGATCCAATAACCAAAGATATGACAATTGTTTGTATCAAAATAGCATGGTATGGGAAATAAATGACCTTTTTTTTGTTGTTGTTTTTTTTACTGTAATAACTTAAGCAAACCCTTTTAACTTTTACTATTAAAGTTGCTCTTGTACACACAAACATACCAAGCACTCACAAAGCTTTCTGAGCCCTACCACAACTTGACATGAGTCTCCCAAAGACTTGTGAGTGTGTTAGTATAATTTTGTGTGTATAACTTTTGTCCGAATCGTACTCAAAGAATGGCCACGATTGACTATACTCTTTGTGGGTTCTACATGAATTTAATCCCAACCGTATGTGCAAGTCAGGTCAGACAGCTCGGGTCTCGGAGTAAACAACAATGCTCTTATATCCAATTAATTAATTTGAGTATATGAGTCATTGAGATGTGGGGCCTTAGGGGATGGGCTTACTCGCTTAATAGTGAAGCCGCTATTGGTTTGGTACCAAGTAATTGTGATCATGGTATTGATTTGGTACCAAGTAATTGTGATCATGGTAAATTGTGAATAAAATCAACTAAATTTTTAAAGTTTGTGTTGACATATATTACATGAGAATCAAAACATTAAATCATTGATCAACAACATAATATATGCAACCTTTCTTTTTCATTTTTTGATTTTTAATATAATCCTGCAATCATAATTTCAATTAAGATGGAAAACTGGGTTTTGCAGGTTACAAGCGTGGTGACAGCATTGCCTGAAAATGAAACAACAGAGGTGAGCAAGACCCAAGAGACTCAGCCAGAGGAAACCGTGGTTGCTCCAGCAGCCCCAGTCCCAGAGGCAGAGCCAGTGGCTGCTGAAGAACCAAAGGAGGAGGTTGCAGCAGCAACAGAAGAAGCACCAGCAGCAGTCCTGCCGGAGGTTGAAGTCGAGAGCAAGGAAGTTGTTGAACCATTCACACGGTTTTCACTTCCCCAAACATAAATAAATAAATAAATAAAATAAAATACCATAAAACAACCAAAAGCACTACTATACTACTCTTCTATTCTTCATTTCCCAAATCACTCTCTTTGCTCTTTGTTGTTTGCTCTTTCATTCCCTTTGCTTTTCAATGGCCACTGTTGAGGTTACAAGCGTGGTGACAGCATTGCCTGAAAATGAAACAACAGAGGTGAGCAAGACCCAAGAGACTCAGCCAGAGGAAACCGTGGTTGCTCCAGCAGCCCCAGTCCCAGAGGCAGAGCCAGTGGCTGCTGAAGAACCAAAGGAGGAGGTTGCAGCAGCAACAGAAGAAGCACCAGCAGCAGTCCTGCCGGAGGTTGAAGTCGAGAGCAAGGAAGTTGTTGAGGAACCTGAAGTTGCTGCTGAAGAGCCAGTGGTGGTGGTTGAGGAGGAGAAACCAGCAGAAGAAGTGGTTCCAGAGGTGAAGCAAGAAGAGGCTGCCGTTGTTGCTGAAGAAGAGGCCAAAGAAGAAACTGCTACCAATGTACCAGCACCGGTATCGGTCCCAGCTGCTGAAGAAGAGAAAGCAAGTGAAGCAGTAGTTGAGGAGAAAACAGAAGTTCCAGCAGTTGACAAGGCTGAGGAATAGAATATGATGTGGTTCTGCAATAGTGGGGGTGTTCTAGGGGCTTGCATGTTAAGTTGCTTTTTTCTTTTTTTATTTGAAGTTTTTAATTTCATTTAGTTGTTTTTTTCTTCTTTTTTTTATTTTCAATTTTAAAAATTATAACTATTGTGATGGTTTTTGGGAGCTAAAATTATTAATATTTGATTATCACTTGTGTGCATGTCAACATACTTGGAGGAGTGAAGGGTAGAACATGGATTTTAGTTCCAAGAGAGTCAATGAGTTTGATATGGTGTGTGATGAGATATATGTGGTCTCTAGGCTTGAATAATATTACATTTTTTTTATTTTTAATAATTATAGTTTTCTACTTGGTGATAATGGTTTCTATAGATTTGCTTTCCTTCATATCTATCAGTGAAAAATAAAAAAGCAAGAAAAAAAATGTCTATTAGTGACAAACTCTTTAGTGTAACAGTTATTTCAGGTCGTATGTGATGACGTGTATCCTTTCCGGGGAGAATTTATAATACTACAAACCAGTCGAGTCAAGTTACATAATAAGTTATTTAAGCTTGGTTTAAAAATTTTAACAAATTTTAAATTATGCTCAAACATAACTTTTTTTACATAACGAGTCTATTTCAAACAAGTTTTTATCAAGTCAAATACGAATCAAACTTGAATAGTTTAATTTTATTGTAGCGCCCCAAAAATATAATAACATTCAATATTTATGATTAGTCTATTAATGTAATCCAAATCTCATTAATTACAATCATTACAAGGGATCAATTATCCAAATGTCTCTCGTCCACAATATATATCTATCTATAATCTCAACCCTTTTCACTACAACAAAAAAGGATTTTTACTGCGCGCAATACACGCAGTAAAAACCCTTCTATGACGTGCAGGGGCACGTCATATTATGACTAGTCATGGAAAGTCATTCACTTTCAACGACATACTTCATACGTCGTTAAAAACTATTTAACGATAGATTTTGTACGTCATTATTACTTTTTTTAGAACATGCTATAATACACCGTTAAAAACTATTTAACGGTAGACTTTGTGCGTCTTTGTTACATTTTCTACGACCACTTTTGCATGCCGTTATTTGGTGAGACAAATAACAGCGCTGCTTGTGTGCTGTAAAATATATAATACAACAACTTGCTCAGCCCGTCGTAGATAAGTAAAACATACCACGACATACATGGAATGCTATGGAATATTTCATATGATGACCTAATTTGCTTGCCACTGCTTTTTTTTTCTTTTTTAATTCAGCAGGTTCTATTTGGCTTGTTTTGTACAATTTAATATTACAAACAAATTTCATAGAATATCAATCAACCACCAAAATATTGTTTCAACCATAAAAAATAAACGATATCTATAAGTTATAAACATTAAAAAATTGTCAATATATACATTCCAAACATCCAAAACCTAACTGCAAGTTCAAAAACATTCAAAAAGATTATCCTTAAGTTCTAAATTATCCAAAAAGTCATAAACCATCCAAAACTATACATATATAAGTTTGTAAATATTATCCAAAACTATTCAAAAATTATAAAAATCTATTCATCAAAGTTCTCAAAAACTATCCATAGATGTTAGCTTTACCCAAAGTCAAAACTAATGAAATGGGTTGGCCAAGCAACAGTGCTTCCAATAGCATCCTCAAGCACAAACATCTCACGATTAGGGCGAAACAATAGTGCATTGATTATGACATGGTTAACCCATACTTTCCAACACCTAGGGCCAAGAGGAACGTGATGTACCAATACTTTAGAATCTGTTGATGCAATTGTGCCTTCCGCAACCACCACCTTTGTTCCATCCCAATTTAACAATTTGCATTTGGCATTGTCCAAGGATCCACAATTTCTAGTTTCATTTGCGTCATGCAACTGTCATGAAAGCAATACATATGAATTGAAGATAAAATTAAAGTTAATATTAACTAGTCCACTAGAATTGAGTATTATTTGCAGATTACTATTCAAATTGGTGACTTTTTTAATCTGCCTTAATTGCTTTTGACTAGTTATCCTTTATGACTGCTACTTTCTTATGCCTAGGTTTATTGGCAATTTAGACCTTTCTGGTCGACAAGTGAACAAACCATGTAGAACATCACTATGCTTCCCTGTTTATTTAGATAGAATTTTTCCATTGTTTGAACGCATAAACTGGATTGCCACATGCATCAAAAGAGTTTAATTTCTGTAGTGAAAACCAGAGAGGTTGTATCTTCGTTCTTAAAGGAAATCATCATAGAACCATCTTGCATTTGGATGAAAATAGGATTAGATCACTTTCATATGAACACCAAACTTTAGTGTGCTAAGGAAATGAGGAAAATAAAGCCTTCTACACAGTGAAATGAAATACAATTTCCTGTTTGGGTCCAAACCCTAAACTGAATTGCACAATCACAACATTCCACGAGGACGAGAGTAATTTACAATCCTAATTCAGCATAATCTCTGTATTTCATGAACCAAGAATTCATCATTACATGACAGTAATTATTTTTTCCATCAATCCAATTTTATTTAGGTAGCTAAATCGCAACAGAGGGTTAGGTATAGATCTTTTCATGAGGTTAATCATATGGTGAATCCACAATTCACTGATAAATACATGCAACATATTTAGGTGGACTTATCTGGTTAAAGATCTATAATCATAAACCAAGAAGCTGTATCACCAGTTGTTTGACTGGCATAAAGGTCAGGTTTCAGATATGTAATGAGATTCTTCTGATGCACAAAAGGAGAGAACAATTATTGTAAGTTTGCTACCAGAATCTCCCTTGGTTTACAGTATTAGAGAGTTAAATTAGATTTTGATCCCCTTAATCATAAAAATGCATCGCTTTCATCTTCTCTTGCTCCCCTCCAGAAGGGGACATTGTATGGTTTTCATAGTTGAAGGGGTTAAATTGTACAGGTTTATAGATGAGGGGGGTAATGTAATATTAACAAATAGTTAATGGGATCTTGGTGTAATTAACCCTTTATTGGATTTATCACTTACCTTCTTTTTATTCATATAATTTGACTATTCTGATATCATCATGAAATAATTTAGAATAGACTTATCTAAAATTACTCAGATTTTTCATAAGGTTCTGTTCATGGTGGAAGTTGCAAAATATGCAGAGGAAAGAAGGGAAATTTAAACAAAAGCCAAAATAGCTTCTACGTCATAATCATTTACATTTTAGTGTTTCAGATTTAAGATAACACAAAAGCTGGTCATCCGAGCAGATTACCCATGTATTCTGATTGAATGGCAAATCAGACAGCTGTGAGCTCTTGCAGAGTGCACTAAGCATAGGGGATTAATACCTAAACGGAAAGACTATATCCCGAAAAAAGACATACCTATCATTATTGTCAGTTTGAACACTATAGAGTCGTTTGATAATTTTCATTCCTCTGCATACTCTTCCAAAAATTGTGTGTTTTCCTGGCCAAAAGATAATCATAAATTATAGCATTATAAACTAAGAACAAGGCTACAAGATATATGTACCTAGTGAAGATCAAATAGAAGAAATGAAAGAATAAACATGCCATTCTCACAGCATGCTGAGATGTAATTCAAAACAGAACCCAGCAATGACAAACCAAATGTTAGCCTAAATTGGAACCCTGCAGAAATTTTGAGGTGTTCGGTATGCAGGGTTTTCTATCAAAGATATTGCATGTAAATAGCTGAGTTGAAGAAGAGAAAGAAAGGGTGGTGTTCTGTATGACAGTTACAGTGGCAAGTAACGATATGATATCTTAAAATACAAGATCTACATGTAGAATTTCTGCTTCTGCCACACAATGAAACAAGTATAGAAACTAACCCTTGGTTGTTAATACGCCAACTAGATGTTGATTGTTATAGCCAAGCATCCTCTGAAGTGCCAGACAATAAAAAGTTTCGGTATTTTAGCAGAAAACCATAGGTACTATTGTGAAATATACAGATTAACTCTAAGCCCCACATACAGGGGCCAAAATAGTGATTATGTGATATACTTAAACCAGATGCCCTTCACCAGCATGAATGTCAGTAATGAGCTAAGCAAATTAAAAATAAAGAAAAAGGATCAAAGAATGTGTCTTCTTGTTAAGCATCATGAAATAATCCTTCTTGTTGACACAAAAGCCAATAGCATCCGACTAAATATGCAAAGTTCACATGTTTAGACATTATTCTAAACAGGTTGACAAAATAAATCTACCAGGTACTAAGCAGAGTCACATATTTACAATCTAGTGATGGTGTAGGTGCCAAGGTGATAAAGAACTCGCTTCCATTGGTATTTGGACCAACATTTGCCATGGATATAATGCTAGCTCCAGTATGCTTTAACCTTCTTGTTATCTCATCCTCAAACTTAGCACTGCAATAAATTAAGAAACAAGTCACCCATTAGTCAAAGATTTGAAATCAGAAAACTTCCAGTTACTTCAAAAATACATGCAAGTAGACTACGTTTTAGTCAATCAAATGCCTAATGATATGAAGTTATGATATATCTAATTAGCTACAAATACTTCAACCAAAATTATAGGCCTTTTGTTATAATATCAACCATTTCAAGATTTCTTTGCAAACAGTCACGAATTAAGAGCTGAGAAAAAGCTTGTGGCTACACTTTGCTTAATATAGACCACCAAGAAAGTTGGATTAGTCATAACAGGCACTCTTAGGAGCACTCACCTAAAACAAGGGCACTAACAAATTACATATAGAGCTCAAAATCATGTAATGGGATAGGAGTTCTATACTTGGAGAACAGAAATATTAAGCTGAAAGCCTATACAAAAATAGTTTGGGCAGAATCGCTTTATGCTGGTCAAGATAAAATAGCAATTTGATATAGCATAGAAGCGGCGTTGAGACATACGATAGATACCACAATTTATTTTTTGATTAGTCAATAAAATTTTTGTAGTTGATCAAAAATAAATAAATAAATTTAAATTAAATTAAAAGATAGATACCACAGTTTATCAGCTCAAGCCGTAGGTTGGATTCTTTTGAGAATTAATCATTATAAATAAGACGTCTAAGAATCCACTTAGTAACCAGAAAGCAGTCATAATAACAAACATGTGAATATATTAAAGTAGAATTTATTGAGGAGAAGCTCTGGTCTTGGAAAAATTGTAATCCTTTCTTCATTTTTTCTTTTTGCAAAATGCCTTTTTCATGAAGGACTTCTAACAAAAAGCTACACCAAATAAACCCAAACAGATCCACTTAGTAACCAGAAAGCAGTCATAATAAAAAAACATGTGAATATATTAAAGTAGAATTTATTGAGGAGAAGCTCTGGTCTTGGAAAAATTGTAATCCTTTCTTCATTTTTTCTTTTTGCAAAATGCCTTTTTCATGAAGGACTTCTAACAAAAAGCTACACCAAATAAACCCAAACAGTAAATCTGAAAAACTAATGCAGTACCTCCACACAGTAACAGAAGAAAACTTGGTTAAGATATATCTTAATGGTTAGAGTACATTGCAAATGAGAACTCATTGTATGTTTACTAAAAGACCATATCCCTTCTGCACAAAGAGAATACTTGAAGACCATTTTGTTGAACACAAACCCATGTATCCAATGCAAACAGAGTCAGTGAACTTCTCGATGACCTTTTTCCGTATCTCCCTTGGTCATTTGAATGAGATGTTTAGGAATTTGGAACAGAATGGGTTAGGCCTCACTCTTTACAAACATACATTGGGTGAATAACAATGCACAGCATAGAGTTCGAAAGGCATAATACTAAACTGTCCTTCTTTTCTATTTTTTTTGGTATAATAGAGGCTTCGGAACGAAGTAAACAAAAATGAGCATTTTTTTGTCCTTTTCAAAAGATCAGCAACTAGTATCTTCTCCACCACTCGACTCTAGACAGAATGAATCATGATACAATTTCCATAAAAAAATTTCAGGAAATCGTCTAATGGTTTCAACTTATACAAGTCCAACAAAAAAAATAAACATCAAAAACTTAACAACAACATTCACATATATTCCAGTATTGATAAATTTTTTTTTTTTTTTGATTGGGAGGGGGAGGGAATAGTTGGCTACCTATTTATTACAAAAATAAACAAATAAAATTAAAAAAAAAAAAAAACAAAACAAAACAAAAAATGAGAACATACCCATATCTAGCTATAACAATTTTCATTTTTTGATGATAAGAGCATCACATGTTGCTTTTCCAGCAGGTAGTATACTCATGAGCAAGTTTTTGTTTTTACTTCTTGAGCTTTCTCAAAAAAGGATTCACTATTTCATCCCCAACTTCCCATTCCTACAGCCACCAGGCCTTTAGCACTAGTAAGAGCACTATCACTACTTCAGCATTTCTGCTGCACCATACTAGTGAAATTTGTCAGGAGGCCATGCACATCACCGTAGTTCTTAATAAAACACAAAATCAAAAGAGGGAAAAAAAAAAAAACATTTCAATCAAGAAACTCATGTACATAACTAGATGCTCTGTTTGGCCCCCAAGAAAAGACTCTGTATGGTAGCCAAGAAAAGAATCTGAACAACCTAGAAAATGTACCTGTGTTCTTCTTCTCTCCATGGAGTTCCTTTCTTCCTCTCGACCTCGCCATGCTTTGTCTTTGCTGTCGACCCAAACGAGGTCTGACTCTTCTTCGACTCGGTCTCCCACCCGAGCGACGACTCGTCAGAGTAACTCTGCAACTCGACTCGGCCTGACTCAATCTCATTCGCAAATCTGAGAGAGAGAAAGAGAGATGCCTTAAATGAGATGTGTTTAGGGAAAATCTGAGAGAGAGATGCCGTCTCTTCCCATTGGTCCAAAAAACTGTTTGTCTGTTTGTTTTTTTTTTTTTTTTCTTGTTTTCCTCCATTGGCAGCCTCCCACGGGGGTGCTGGGGTCCTCTCCTGCCGGAGAGCAGGACTCTTATTTCCCTCCATGTGCCCGACGTTGTTAAATGGAGTTGTATTGGCGATGGATGCCTTTCGAACCAGTGTTTGATGATTAGAATCAATTAGAAGCTCAAATAGTTGATATATATATTCTTTTCCTAAGTAGATTTTTTTTAATTTTTTTTGGTGAATTGGTGCCAGAAATTTCATGTTTGGCGCTTATTTGTTTTTATCATACAATTTACGACATACATGGTCTGTTATAAAAGTTACAATACATTTAACGGCAGGCGTTGTGTGCATCGTAAAAAGACAATACTTTTTAACGGTGAGTGTTGTGTGCGCGGTGACAAGTATTCACTTTTCATGACTGGCATATGTGCGCCGTGTATAATTAATGTATTAACGGCACGCCATATGCACGTCATAGAAAGTTTTTATTATATACGACTTGCATTGCAAGCCGTAAAAAAATCATCGTTATTTTCATTCACGGCTTACGCAATAGACACTGTGGTTGGAAAAGTATTTACGACGTGTAAAAAAAACAAGTCGTAAAAGTGAGAAACTACGGCGTGTATTTATTGTATGTCGTTGATGTGGTGCCATAAAAAGTTAATTTTATTGTAGTGTTTATTCGTTATATAATCAAGATTTCAAAAGTCCCATATACAATTATACATCCATGTTCCCTAAAATATGAATTGTATAACATATAGAGCGGAGAATTAAACACAAAAGAATGCCCTATGGACTACAAATTCTAAGGCTTAAACCCTGATTACACATAATGATTTTCAAACCTATACACATTAACCTTTGGCTTGTCAAAAACAAAGAACAAAGGAAAAAAGCCCTGCGCTCCAAAAACAATTCTTCCACATCATCACTTCAGTGGAATTAGAACACTCTTTACCTAAAAGTAGTTTCCATTAAGGGATGAGCATAAAACCCAATAAAGGATTTCTTAACAAAGTACATACAGTTTTATCAATCTCATGGGATATATGCATATGACATGCCATGCAAAAAGTAGATTTTTCTTATTTGAAATCTCATATAATGCACTTGATCAAAAGATAATCAGTTCAATGATTCAATGGATAAACAAGGGGCAGTAAATATGACTTAGGTAATCCTTGGTGTTTGCAAGTAGGCTCTCAAGGCACTATCTAATAGCCACTTTACCGGCTTTTAATTGGAAGGAACTTGGTACATACCTCGTGGGTTTCTGAACTTTCGCCATGGATCTCAAGCCAACTTAATTCATATCAACTACACTAGCTATCTAGACTTACCAAAGTATTTACCCCAAAGCAATTCAAAAACAACATTTGCTTTCAATGAATAATTCTTTTCCTTACAAAACCACATTTCAACAATCGACAATTTGAAAACATGTAATATGAGATGAGATGACAATGCAATGGAATTACATTCTTATTCTCTAATCTTTTGACAATTTCAATCTCAATAACACAACTCTCAATTGTTGCTTAGCAAAACATCTCTACTAAATATATATAAACACAACATTATATATATTCCAAAAGACAATAACGATATACAATCATATCCACTTTCATTCCTCATACAAGCAAGCAAATCTCAATATCATAATCATCACTTCTATTTTCTATTTCTCAATGCTAGTATAATGCCATGCTATATCACAATTTCTCAACAACAAACTTCCTTTCTCATGAATTTTTAAATAATTGACAAATTTCTTAAAACTCTTATCATGTCTCAATAGTAGTACTTTACAAATCATGATTTTTCATTAACATAACATTTTCCCTCATACTTCCAAAATTTAGGGTTTTTACAAAAATTATGTTTTCTCACTTTTAAAAACAGTTTCCCTCATAAAAGACTTCCAACTATCATCACAGTCTATAATTTTAAGGATTTTAAGAAATATTTGAGAAAACCCCTGATTTATAGAATCTCAAATGTTAAAACCCTAACTTCTCTTACAAATATCTCACCAAAATAACACATAGAGAAGATAAAATGTATGTTTATAACTCAAAGAAATCCCTACCGCAAGCTCTAGGAGGAAGATGAGAGAAAAGTCCTAAAATCAATGGCGTCGGAAGTCGATCTCCACTGCACAAAATAAAGCTCTTACAAAGCTCTTCGATGTTTCCTTAAGAACATGGGTCAAAATGTTGGTGGATTTGTGTAAATAAAACAAAATGTGAGAGCATTGGGTGTTGGTTAGAGAGAAGGAAGAGAAAAGATGAGTTTAGAGAGAGATAAGGAAAAGTGAAGAGAGAGGGAGAGAACGAATACGATTTTATAAAAGTGGTTCAAATTTTGGAGTTGAGATAGACATTTCCGCACGTGTGGCACCCTCTCCGGCACATGCCGGCCCCCTGGCTGCATGTGTGGTGCTTCTTCTTGCACAAGGAAGAATTCTCCTCTGCATGTGCTTTTATTTTAGAATACAGCCCAACAACTGGCCCCCTTGTTGGAAGTGCGGCACTCAACCTTGCACGTGCGGTTCTACCCCTATACGCGCAGGAATATTTAATGTTATGGTTCTAAGGTATTCCTCACACTTCGATTCTGCCCTCCTGCCTAAAATTCGGAAGTTTTAAATTGGGATTAATTTAGAAGATCAAAACAAGTAAGTTACAAAGTGTGGTGACACCACATAATCCATAAAATCTCAAAATAAGATTAAGGTTCGAAAACAAGATGATTAGATGGAAACAAACAAGAGGAAAAATGGGGTTAAATACTTTATTGTAGACACCCCATTTTTGACTGCTCGTAGGACTTGGACGCCTCATGTTGAACACTCGATGATGAATTATTACACTGTCCGAATCGTTCAATTTCTTCAGCAAAAGGCTTCGGTTTTCAAGCTTTAGAGCCCAAACCTTGCACCTCATTCGGACCAAAACCTAATTTTTTCTAGCCTAACGACTTAGAGGCCTGCTGGATAAAAAATGGCTGGTAGGCCAATTTTTATTGGCCGACCATCCCTCTTCATAGTCGGTCAGCCATATCTAGCGACCCACAGATATTTTGCTGCCAGCTGTCCCTCCATGTGCATGCCTGGCACCAGCTGGCTCAATATAGATATTTTCGACAAAGGAACCTATTTTTCTATAAATAGATGACCACCCCTCATGGTTTTAGGTTAGAAAAATTTGCCAAAAAAGAAAAACTTGTCAAACACTCTCCTTTTCTATCTTGCAATATACATACACTTTATAAACCAAAATTTTGAGGTTTCTTGCTGAGATTATTGAGCCAAAATTCAGCTCTTGAGGGTGATCACTTTGTGGTTTGTGAACCAAAGAACATCCTCTCTTCAAGAGGTATAGCTTTTGCCATCTTTTATCTTATTTGCACTACTCTTTTCTCTTTTTTTTTCACACTGTTTTGGGCTGGTTTTGAGGGCTGAAACTTGTGATTTAAAAGCTAACAAAGGTGGAGGGGTTAACCACCCTTCCTTGAACCTTATTCCATAGCTTATATCCTTGTTTTCCCCCACTGGTTTCTTTGCTTTTAGCTATTGATTTTCAAAGTTTTCAGAGGCTAAAACATGTGATTTTAAGGTCCCAAAATTTGAGGGGTTGGCCGCCCTTCCTTAGGCTTGCTTACTAGCTTTATTCTCTTCTTTTTTGGGTTTACTTTTGCTAGCTTTTCAAACTGATTTTTAGCACTATTTCCCCTAGATGTTGATTTGTGATTATGTATCAATTTTAAGCAGAATATAACAATCCCAATCAAACAATCAAACAATCAAGACAAAAAGACACAACGATTTTACGTGAAAAAAACCACAATTGGACACCTCCAACTGTGATCAAAAACCACGGGCAACAGCCATAAGAACAATCCACTAAGAAGATTTAAAGGAATTACACAGGTATACTCTCAATTACCTAGCGAATCCACGCCTAATTGAACCAACCTCTATGTGCCTCTTCCAATCTCGTCTTTACCTCGGAATTGTCTTGACGATGAGCCACTCCGAAATCCACCAAAGTTTCAGGCTCGAATTCTTCAGAATCTACTGAAGAACAACTCTCTCTTTTGTGTAGAATTAAACAAACAATCCTTTGATGTAAACTTTTAAAATCATGAGTTGAATACTCAATCAAAACATCAAAGAAAACTAGCAAAATATCCCCAGATATAAACCCTAGAGCCCAAAAAGAAGATCTGGAGTAGTAATCCTAAAATCTGATCCAACATGCGAATTTATAGAATCTGTCCCGCGATCTCCGCTCGAGCGCCCAGAAGCCCGCTCGAGCGGCTTTAGCAAAATATGCACGTGATATAACAGAGGTCCGCTCGAGCGCCAGAAAGCCCGCTCGAGCGCAAAATCACATATCTCAGTACTTTTGCAGGCGACCAAAACTGCTGGAACCAGGGATTCTCCGCTCGAGCGCGGGTATGTCCGCTCGAGCGGACAGGCAATTTTGAATGCATTTTTGCATTTTGCTTCGGGGGCGCTGCCCCTCGACCCCGCCGTGGCGCTGCCCCGGACCCGCCAAGGAACGCTGCCTGGGCAGCTCGATCCCCGTCATAATCAGCGAAGTGGCAATCTTGAAAGCTTTATCATCACAAACTTCTCTGAAATGCTTGATTCAGGTTGGATTCGCATCTAACAACTCATAGCCTCACTGAAATAAAAATGCGAATAAAATTACAACTCAAAGGAGTTTTGTCAAACGGGAATGCCAAGAAATAAAACCTAACATAAGGTATTCCTCACACTTCGATTCTGCCCTCCTGCCTAAAATTCGGAAGTTTTAAATTGGGATTAATTTAGAAGATTAAAACAAGTAAGTTACAAAGTGTGGTGACACCACATAATCCATAAAGTCTCAAAATAAGATTAAGGTTCGAAAACAAGATGATTAGATGGAAACAAACAAGAGGAAAAATGGGGTTAAATACCTTATTGTAGACACCCCATTTTTGACCACCCGTAGGACTTGGACGCCTCATGTTGAACACTCGATGATGAATTATTACACTGTCCAAATCGTTCAATTTCTTTAGCAAAAGGCTTTGGTTTTCAAGCTTTAGAGCCC